CTAATCTAAGCAAATATGTTCTCAAGCTCATAGATAATGTAAGGCTATATTCGCAAGAGCATGCTTCATGCCTTAGACTACGGTAACTGGTTAATATCAGGTGGGCCGTATGTTCGTTTGCCACCTCAGTGATGTAAAAACAATTTAACACATTTTTAAATACTTTAAATGGTAGGCCCATTAAATGTTTTTTTTTTTTTTTTTAATAACTATTTAATATTAAATTGCTGATGTCATTAATGTAAGAATAACATCAGCTTACGCATTTAAAATGATAACGCATGACACGGAAGTTTATGGGAATCCCATATATTACACGCTTTCAATATCAGCATATAAAATATGGGTAATTAATTTAATGTAACATCATACCAGTCTTTATCTGTTCACTGCTGAACATAGGTCTCCCAAATAGACTGCCTTATGTAACAGTGCTGAGCTATCTGCATCCACTAATTTCCTGCAATGCATTTGAGGTTGTCACTCTATGTAGGGGGGGGGGGGGGGGGATCGTCCTTCACTGTGTTTGCCCGTAATTTGTCGTTACTCAAAAAACTTTCTTCCTTATCTGTTGTTGGTTCTTCAAGCTATATGACCAGCCAATTGGCACTTCAGCTTGCTTGTTCTTTGAGCTTTGTCTTGAAACTTCGAAGTATTTTAAATTTAATGTATACCTTTATGAAAAATAGAAAATCAGAAATAGACTTAATACCTAAAATAACTTGTAATAACATATTATTAATGTATTCCTAATTAAAGTTGTAATGAATTTCCAGAAATAATAGGTATACATATATTTTTCATATGAATATGAAATTAGATTTAAAAATAATCTTTGACCTTTTTCATTCATTATCAATAGTTCTGATATTTATTTTACCTCCCTTTTATCTCTTACAGATTTTGTTCTTATGCGAGTCAAGTAAGTATTCTTGTTGCTGTAGAGACCATAAGTCTGTGGGGCCAAAATGCAAAGCATTTTTATCGGACGATCGCAACGCACCTCATCGAGCTTACTGGTGACTCAAGAGTTAGTAGCTACCTTACGCAAAAGGTAAGTTTAGCAATCCAAAGAGCCACCTCGGTGTGGGGCATTGGAAGATGATTTATAATTAATTGTTAGTTTTGTTATTTAAAAAATTGTGTAATTTTAAATTATTATAGTTATATAAATATATTTATTGTTTGTTATTTTGTAAATTACATAAATTACAATCATTCTTGCTCTTACAACAATAATTTATGTGGAATTAAAGAAATAATAAGTACACAAGTACCTAATCATAGTTTACAATATATTAGCTGACCCGGTGAACGTTGTTTCGTCCCTTATCGGGAACTTATCTATTTTTTTTTCTTATTGGGGTATAATATCAACATATTTCTAAGGGCGTTCATAACTTTAGCTTACTGAAATGTGGCAAACGTCGCAATTATATATTTGGCGTTTTTATACTTTTCCGTGAACGATATATCGTGAACTCTCACGATATTATCGTGTACTTCCACGGTACATCGTGCAATTGAACGCTTTTTATTTTTTCGTGGAATAGGCATGCAAAGGCGAATTTACTCGAGGTGTTTTTGGAATCATAGAGCAAAGAATTCCAAAGTTTGATAGATGTAACGGTGAAAGAGTCAGAGCTGAAGCCCGGTCGAGTTGGAACGAAGGCAGGGCTCATTGTCGTCTTCGTGGAAGTGAAATTTGCTTCGTAGATACTCGGGAGAACTTGAATCGTGGATAATTGAAAAAAGTTTGCACAAAATACGCAGTTGTCTCCGTTGCCAGATAAGCAACCATTTCGGTTGAGATCGAAATTTGAAAACATGATCAAATTTACGCAAGTTAAAAATAAAACGAATTCCATTATTTAGAAGTCGATTTATTTTATTTAAGACGTCTCCATTCATATTCAAGCAGCACACATCAGCATAGTTAAAGATGGAAACAATTAATGATTGAACGAGTAATATTTTTGTGTTAATAGGAAAGAAGATGTAGGTTTATATAAAATGCGTAGAAGTAAAGTAACACTGCGGTTGATTTATGTGACATAATGGGGTATTTGACTATATTAAAATATAAGTCAAATTGATACTAGCTTAAGAGTAAACATTGTTTTTCTAAACAATTTAGCCAACACATATTTTTAAAATGTATGCGGTTTTGTAAGAAATTATAAATAAAATTATTAAATATTCAGGTTTAACCACGTGAATAAAAATTATTAGTTTAATCTGGAATGACGTCAACTACGTTATCAGCAATCGTAAATGTTAGGTTTATATGTTGCATCAGGGCTTTGTCGTAGATTTTACTGATATTCTTATCAATTAGGGATATTTCAGGTTTCTATAAGCAAACATTAACCACTTTTTGAAAATATTAGTGTTCTCTGATATATACACAAACATTTTCACCATACTACGCACCATTTATAAATAATTTTGTAAGAGTAATCACTAAGTGTATTATGATTTAGTAGCTTGTCTACGTGTAAGACGCTGCTTCATCGTAGCTGACCATCTTTCGTTTTGCCTATCATCTATCCACGCTGGATGAACGTGATACACTGCTGATACAGTCCACAATCGCTGGTCTCAAGAAGGAGACGACCTTTGGTCGAGAAGAAGTGCTGCTAGACCCTGGACGCAAGAATTGCCGCCAGCAGAGACACAGAGGTACCTATTGATGTATGCAGCTTACTACGTCACAGCTAAAGGTCAGCCCTCTTAGGTTGTTCCTGTTATCGTACATCTTTAATATTCAGAACCAGTCCGCAGTACGTTCATTAAAAACCTAATATTGGTTCCCCGCGCGTACAGATTTCATGAAATTGCAAATAGATTATAATATAGTAAACAATTTAAGATACTTTTCTAAATCTTGTCAAATACCCTATAGTTCCATCTTAGCGTATTATCGATGGACAGCATAACTTATTAAAAGTCAAAGATTTTTTACTAATATAAGTGTCCAAATTACCTATAACTATAAATATATTAAATCTTTTAAAATAGTTGCAGCGACAAGATGGCAGACTACCAATATAAAGGTTTGTTTTTGAAAATACCCAATATCCAAGTATCCGAATGTTCGTCAGTTCCAGTACAGTCAGTGTCCAGTGTCTGAATCTGAGTGTAGAGCGTCCGAGTGTATGAATGTCCGAGTGTCTGAGGTCTAAATGTTGAGCGCCTGAATTTCCAGTGTTGGAGTATCCAGTCTCCGAGTATCCAGTGTTAGACTGACTAATGTACGATTGTCCAATGTCAGAGTGTCTAAGCATCTGGGTGTTCGTCCTAAGTATGTTTAAAAGTCTGAGTGTCCAGTGTCTGAGTCTCCCAATGCCCAGTGTCCGAGTATCTGATTGGCAATATTGAAGTAGGTGACCTTTTTTCGGCATGCAATGTCCAGAGGAACTCAATATACAAATATAATATCGGTAATATTACCCATATCTAGCTTAAACCACTCATAGCGGAGATTATTTACGAAGTTCAATTAATTCTCGTAAATTAGCTCGACCCAGATTGAAACGTAACGAGCTAACGACTATGCTATGCTGTTACATACGATAAATGTGTCACAATAAATAATGCATATTATTGTAACAATTTCAGTACAGAATAATTCAAACCGACATGGATATATCATTAGTTTTTAATATACGCTAGCGACACTTTTAAATCGAGTAACTATCAAATAAATGTAGTATACGTGTATAGACTACTAATTTTTTTTTGCAACTTCGTTTGGTCATCCAATCTTAGATGTGTTGATTAATTAGAATAAAGATTTAATTATGTCCTTCTCTGTCCCAAACTTCACACGTATACCAAATTTCATGATGATTGATGAATGTGTTAAAACGCTTAGCTTAGTTATTATGCATTTACCCTGATTAAAATAGGTTTTTTTAATATCATTATCAGTACTCTTACGTATGCTTTTAGATTAGATATTCTGGTTGTTTCCTAATTAAAAATTGAATAAAATGGAGGTTATGATGATAGAATGTCACAACAGACAAAAGTTAATTAACCATTGTAGCTAAATAAAAATAAAAATTTTTAGAAAGACTGCTTAATTTTTTTATTTGTTTTTTTTTATTTTATTAAATTAGCAATCAGAATTATATATTAAAACCTAATCTACTAAATATACTCATATCTAAGCATTCAGGCAAAATTACAGGCGAAAGTACAATATAGCACTAAAATATAAAATATACATACAAATATCCATAATATTATTTGAATAAGCTTAAAATTTAATTCAGTTTATTTGGTACTAAAATAAATTGATATTGGCTTTGAAGCTGATTCCTTTGCATGCAATTGTCACTGCATTCTGGTAGTAAAGTGTATATTTTGTCAGGTCAGTATAGTAGTATATTTAATTATACTGCAAAATTTGGCTGTATTGCATTTTATATTCATTATTAGTTTTACTTGAATAATAAAATACATATATTTAAGCATCTTTTAGTTTCTTATTCTTTATTGCTGAAAACATTATTTTCAAGGTAATCGACGATTTATTTATTTAAGTACTTATCACTTTATTTTAGATATCAGGTTTTAACGAAAATGTACACAGGCAGACTTATACCTTGAAAAGGTTTCTTCTAGCTAACCATGAGAACCCGAAAAAAAAAAAAAAGTATCTATCTGTAAGGTATATGAAGCATAACATATATGATGCAAAAATAATATGATATATAAATAAACTATGAATAGCTATACAATAAATATGAACATTAATTTATAAAAAATAATATAACATTATCATTGACGGAAAATTAAAAGTGTATAAAATCATGTTGCATCATATCATGCAGGAGTGAATTACAAAAGCCCCTATTGTATTCCACACATTATGGTAATGATGATAATTACATTTCAACTATTCTACTAGCGATACGCGAACTGAAATATACTTTGTTTGTATAAGTAACTAACTACAAATATATAACTTAAAATCTAAAAAACATATTTACCGCTCTATCAGCAAGGTTTCGTACACGACAATGAAGGTACGCGGGCTGGCCAACGGCGGCGGTGGCCTCGCGCTTCGTGCTGTTGTCGAAGTACGGTTGCCCCAAGGGTTCCCAGCCCCCGCCGCCAGCTGTCACACCTGAAACACAAAGCAAACTTTATTCACAAAGCTGTAAAGATTATTTTTATTTGAATTGGATTACTACAATCTTTATGAATCTCTTGGGATTACTGCTGTAATGCTGTAAGATATTCTATAGACTAAGAGGCTACGATCACTAGAGAACACATATTATATCCTTAGATATTATAACATAAACCGTACATAATTCATATTTGTATGTACCCTTGCATACTCGTAGATATGTGTTACTGTAATTACAACAATTATGTTAGGTCTGGTTGTAAGATAAACTAGAATTAATAAATAAAACAGCGGTTTACGGTATATAGCAAATATGAAAGTCAGTTTATTTATTACACCTTAACAGCTTAGTAGCTCGATCCTTTTTCATTAAATTTAATTTGGCATGCACGTAAGAATGAAGAAACAAATACTACTTATTCCGGTCAATCAACGTGTTCTGTTTACGTGGACGAAGGCATGGTTAGAAACTTACATGCAGGTGAAACTTTATTGATCAAATAATGTGCACGGTCCATAAACTGTAACCACTATGCTTCAGAAAGGCTGTCACGTTGACTTGTTTAGCATTCCATGTTGTACATATATATAAAAGTCAAATCTTCTAAATGAACTGGGGGCCTACCATGAAATGAAATTCCGAACTTTCGGATTCAATTTCGTGTTTTCGTTCATACCTAAATCGGCCCAGTAAATGAAGCTTAACATTTCGTTAGTTATAAATCCTACCATAAAAGGAATAATATTTTAATATTTTTAATGTTTTTAAACGGTAAGTATTATGTAATTTTAGCATGAAATTTGTGTTTCGTTCGACTCCGAAATTTCGGAAAACATTTCATGGTAGGCCCTCTGTTGATAAAAATACTGATACGTGTATTTAGTGTACGTAACCTTATTCAATAATGTTCTCAATGACAGTAATAGTATCATTATATACGTCTGTGTGTCGTGACCTTACGAAGCATATAACGATAGCGACCGCGCCGGTCACCGCAAATAAACAAATTACACTTAGGTACTATATAAACTCTTATGGTTTTCGTATCAGTACGCATATTAGTTCTTAGTATACATTGGAATGTTTTACCAATATCATATCCAATCGATTTTGATAAAACTTACCTACATTCTATTTTTATGTGAGAACAATTATTAAATTCGAAAGTTAACTTTTCTAGCTAAATTCCTAGAACAAGTATTAATGTTGACACTTATACTTATTCGTACATGAATTATAAGAACTATTTATAGACAAAATAAAAGAATTTTACCTAGACTATAAATAATACATAGTTTAGCGGGAGGTAAAAGATAATAGGCTAAAATTTGATCAAAATACATTAGTTAGTTAAATTTCCTCGTCAATAACTCACATTATTAGTAAATTTATATATAAGCACGTGTTACTGGTGTAGTATCCAGGATACTAAACTGTTATGGTATATTTGTGACACGTGTACGTACCTACACTTGTAATTAATGTAATCGTGATCATATGTTACTAAAAATATATTTTACTTACTTAACTTAAATCATTATAAATTTAACTGTTGTTATTTTATAACTTAATACGAAATATATTTTAAACTTTAAACAACCTGAACGCCTATACAAATAATTTTAATTAGGAGGTAGATTTTTTTCTATTTAAGAGACATCTAACTGAAATTCTATTAATTATAATAAGTCAGTAAATAAAATGCACAAAAAGAGATATGAAAGTAACGTTTCATTCTAGGTATATATTTCCATAGATACTGTATGAAATTTGTATTTTTCTTTTGCTGTTTCGTCTAGGTTTTTTTTTTTTATACAACTTAGAATGGCAAACAAGCTGACGGCCCACCTGATGGAAAGTGGTAACCGTCGCCTATAGACATGAACAGTACCATGGACATAACAGAGTATACTGTTTTGCCCATGATACCCCCCATGCGTTGCCATTCCTGAGGACTCAGGTGTTATTCCTCTGTACCCAGTAAATTCACGCCATATCCCACCCTTCAAACCGAAACACAGCCATGCAAACAATATATAGGTATAATTATATTACTAATTTTATTCGATAAGAATCAGGTCAACGGATTGTGTTGTTTCTGGCAGATTTTGAAGAGTACGAGTTTGAATCGACAGATGATTTGATATGGGTTTGTTAAATGATGACGGGCAAGCTATCTGTCTGTCACTAACATTATCTTCAATTTATTGCAACTCTTCCATACACGACGAGAAAAAATATACGATCAAAATAATTTTACGACGGAAAGAAATAAACAGGCATGACTGCAATCTCGATAAGATTCACAGAGGTAATTATTTCTTGGCTGTTGCTATTATGGTTACATTTATACTCGATATGCCCACTTTCCCATAATATATTTTGTAAATCTATCACTGTTTCTCTGATTAATTTAATTGAAAATAAAAATTAATATACAAAGTTTTTGGTGTCAGTTGAAGTTCTAAGTCATAACTTTTGATACATTAAAATGCCCTTACAAAAGACATTAGTCGATTATAACTTCATAGGGTTGCTATTTGACGTTTTTATCTAATGGGATGTTACTATAGTGCGTATATGTATAACATTTTTTGCTATTACAAGTGTATAATATTAATAATATATTATTCATAATGTTATAATAATTTATCATCATTTATATCTATTAACGTATTGAACAATTATAGCAGAGTTATAGTGCCTTAATGAATAAAGATTTTTTTAAACATGTTACTATATTATTATAGAGATCTTCAATGATAAATTGGTGGTTGGGGAACTAGTGTTCTTATGAGTCGGGCTTGTGCCTACTAGTCTACCTACGATGTAAGTTGTTGATGCCAAAATAGAACACATAGAACCCTTATTAATATTATTTATGAACGTGAAAGTAAGTTTGTTTGTTTATTACCTTATTATTTTTTTCATCATGTTTAAATGATCCAAACATGGATTTGTAAAATAGGTTAAAAGAGTTCCTTAGATCAAATTTTAGTAGGCTCAGCTTAGTTGATCTTAATATCTCCAGACCGCAATCAAGCATTGTCAAACCAGTCTGTCACCATTTTTGACAATGCTCCAACATCACATTCTTTAGTAGTAGTGTAGTATATTATAGTTGTGATAAACATACCGTAACTTTTTTTTTATTTTGGCATTAATGTTTAGTTTTAGGTACTATTAGAATGTTCTTTTTATAATGCTAATGAATTATATTTTTCTCGATAAATTGAGATACACGTTTTAGTTGTTTTTATTTTAGCTATTATAATAATAGTCCTGACAATCATACAGCGCCATGTATCAACGTCAAGGTTCTCTGGTCCAAATAGAGTTGCCAAGCGTGACAACTACTGGCAAAACTCCCCTAGGGCGAGGCTTATGTTCAGCAGTGTACAGTTAAAAGCTGATATGATGATGATGGCATGTTAAGATTGTTTTTTTTTTTACAACGCAAGGGGCAAACGAGCATGCGGCTCACCTGATGGTAAGTTACTACCGCCGCCCATGATCACCCACAACACCAGCGGCAAATTATTAAATATTTATAATATTTAATAATATATATATATATATATATATTAATAATGTTATTAAATAGTTATGCCAACCAAAAAAGAACACAGTACTACCATTATATTACTTGTATCATTATCATCCTCATATCAGCCTTTAACTGTCCACTGCTGAACATAAGCCTCCCCCTTGGGGGGTTTTGCTAGTCCTACATACTACTTATATACTATTTATATTATGCCGTTACTCTATTGAGCTCGTGAAATTTACGAGGAAGATTTTGTATTAAATTCCTGTCATAGTTAGGTACATCTACCAGCGGGAGGTTTTAAGTAGGTACTTCAGAGTATTTCAGTAGTTATACTGAATTTTACATTGAAATGTAAAGTAGGATAATATCTGTGATAAAGCCTAATTAATATCTCCCTTGTTCTTGTGACTAAATTAGAGTTCTATTCCCGCAAGGCAATGGTTATTGGCTATTAATTTACAACATATGTGGAGATCGTTAAATGTAAATTAGCGTGGAATTATCACCGTAATCATGCTTGTTATGTTCCAATATATAATTATTATTGTGTTTAATAATTAATTTGCTTACAGAAGTCAAGTTCGTATCCACATTAATTACATGCTTCATTTTCCCTAGAATGGAACCACGCTGTGTTAAATTACCAAGAAGAGAATGTAGTTCCCTATTTTATAATTATATAGTAGAAAAATTATACATTATTTAAAGAGAAGTTCATATTTTTAATTAATCACGTCCATTTGCAACTAATAAGAACGATTTACTCTTTTCTTTGTAAAATAAAACATAAACGAAGTTATAATTATTAGGTGTATACTCAAAACCCAAAAAAAAAAACAACCGTGACTCTACCTTTTGTTTATATTTATTTTCATCAGTATTACATAGCAAAATAAGTAATGAAAAAAAAAATCCAAATCATCACTATGGCTTCCGAAACATACCGAATTTTCCCAAATCCGGCTAACCTCAGCCGATCCTTTTCAGTGATAAAAACGTGCTTTGTTTTCCGTCACGTCCCGTTATTTTTTATTCCCCCACTTTTTTAACATTAACCGAGGTTTTTGTAAATATTTCATTATGTAGTCATCCTATTGAAAAAGAAAATTCTGTTGTTATAAAGATAAAAGGGTTTCATTTGTGTGAATTGGAAGCCAAATTGCGTTTAGGTCATGACTGCCTGCCTACTTTATTGTTCATCTAAAAACAAACAATGTGGATTTCGTGTGAATAATATACACCCATTGTAATGTCAACGACATTGTGATACGTGCTTAACTGTAACACCGTCACATGGAAAATAGAAATTCGTGCAAGTGTAGATTTAATTTAGATATTGCTTTTGAATATGAAGTTTTTTTTTATACAACTTGAAATGGGAAACAAGCTGACTGGGCCCAGCTGGCTGAAAGTCATGACTATCACCTGACTTTTTAATAATCC